CCTAAAACAGTTACCTTTCATTTCATTCTTTGCTCTTAGATGGGACTAAATTGAATAAGTGGTGCGACTCAGTGACGATCGGTTGTTTTCATATACTCATACCTCATACTACCAATCACCGGTTTGTCTGGTCGCCAAGTCTATCAGGCTAATGGTTGGGATATTGTTGTTTCTAAACTATCTGTAAAAAACAAATATCGCCCACGCATAGTGAGTGAGTTTAGTGTTACGCCGCACTCAGCAATATTCCAGTAATGGCGGAAGTCTGTAAATAATCGAGTCTGGACCAGACAATCCAGTGATCAACAGCATGAGCATCGATCTGCGCAATTGGGAACCGATGACCTGTGTCAACCAAGTCAGCAAGCCTGACCACCCGATCCCGTTAGTCGCCTTTTACGACAGGCATGGGTTACTGAAGATCAATATTCTAACCCGGACCTTCACGGGTGCCCAAACATATATATATATATGTCACAGAACAGTCGCACAGAAAGTACGCGAAATAAACCAAAATAATTTGTTCCCTCGTTGAAGGTGCTTGTCGTAAGAGGCGACTAACAGGTTCGGGTGGTCAGGCTTGCTGACTTGGTTGACACATGTCATCGTATCCTACTTGCGTAGATCCATGATCATGCTGTTGATCACTGGATTGTCTGGTCCAGACTCGATTATTTACACACCGCTGGCATATAGCTGGAATATGGCTGAGTGCGGCGTAAAATAACAAACCAAACCAAACCAAATGTTATTAACCATATTTTAAAGCATTCACTGTTACTAGGTGAAGGTGTATGAAATATATGAATAACCACTCACGGGTGACGATAAGGTGACTTCTATCAACCTCAGAACCTAGGGTGTTTGGTGATCCTGCGTGAACGCTGTAGGTACCCCCATCAGACATACCAACATCAGTTAACTGGAAGGACAACACTCTTTCTGGTCCTCTCAAATACGACACAGTATGTATTCTACTCTTATATGTCTCATTGACAAGTGTTGGCTGAGAACCGTCATTTACGTGAAATATACTGCTTGACGTTGAAGGTCCCCTCACTGTAAACTCCAGTGCTGGTGTGTGTAGGTTCCATGAAAACGTCACAGTCCCTCCATCCTGTGCGTATTTTGTATCTGAAAGAAATACAGTTTTAAACTATGGCCAGACGTGTATATCTTCTTTGAGTGGCATTTTGGAAGCTGGGAAGAACAATATAGACAACCTTATGAATACCACCTTCTTTATTGCGAGAGTGCGACGTTTCGATACAGATTCTTGTACCGTTGTATTGCTTGACAACGGTACAAGAACCTTATGAACACCACCTTCTTTATTGCGAGAGTGCGACGTTACGATACAGATTCTTGTACCACTGTACTGCTTGACAACGGAACAAGAACCTTATGAACTCCACCTTCTTTATTGCGAGAGTGCGACGTTTCGATACAGATTCTTGTACCATTGTACTGCTTGACAACGGTACAAGAACCTTATGAATACCACCTTCTTTATTGCGAGAGTGCGACTTTTCGATACAGATTCTTGTACCATTGTACTGCTTGACAACGGTACAAGAACCTTATGAATACCACCTTCTTTATTACGAGAGTGCGACGTTTCGATACAGATTCTTGTACCATTGTACTGCTTGACAACGGTACAAGAACCTTATGAATACCACCTTCTTTATTGCGAGAGTGCGACGTTTCGACACAGATTCTTGTACCATTGTACTGCTTGACAACGGTACAAGAACCTTATGAATACCACCTTCTTTATTACGAGAGTGCGACGTTTCGATACAGATTCTTGTACCATTGTACTGCTTGACAACGGAACAAGAACCCGTTGTTATCCATAAGGTTCTTGTACCGTTGTACAGATTCTTGTTCCGTTGTACTGCTTCACAACGGTACACGAGCCTGTATCGAAACGTCGCAATCTCGTAATAAAGAAATTGTTAACCAAAAGGTTTGTCTATTCAGACGCATATATGACGTGTATATGACGTGTATATGACGTGTATATGCTGTGTATATGCTGTGTATATGCTGTGTATATGACGTGCATATGACGTTTATATGATGTGTATATGATGTGTATATGACGTGTATATGACGTGCATATGCTGTGTATATGATGTGTATATGACGTGTATATGATGTTTGTATGACGTGTATATGATCTTTATATGCTGTGTATATGACGTGTATATGACCTGTATATGACGTGTATATGACCTGTATATGACGTGTATATGATGTGTATATGATGTTTATATGACGTGTATATGATGTGTATATGCTGTGTATATGACGTGTATATGATGTTTATATGACGTGTATATGATCTTTACATGCTGTGTATATGACGTGTATATGATGTGTATATGATGTGTATATGACGTGTATATGATGTGCATATGATGTGTATATGCTGTGTATATGACGTGTATATGATGTGTAAATGACGTGTATATGATGTTTATATGGCGTGTATATGACATGTGTATGATGTGTATATGACGTGTATATGATGTGTATATGACGTGTATATGATGTGTATATGATGTGTATATGTCGTGTATATGATGTGTATATGATGTGTATATGCTGTGTATATGCTGTGTATATGATGTTTATATGACGTGTATATGACGTGTGTAAGATGTGTATATGACGTGTATATGATGTGCATATGATGTGTATATGCTGTGTATATGACGTGTATATGATGTGTATATGATGTGTAAATGACGTGTATATGATGTGTATATGATGTGTATATGACGTGTATATGACGTGTATATGATGTGTATATGACGTGTATATGATCTTTATATGACGTGTATATGATGTTCATATGACGTGTATATGACGTGTATATGATGTTTATATGACGTGTATATGATCTTTATATGACGTGTATATGATGTTCATATGACGTGTATATGACGTGTATATGATGTGCATATGATGTGTATATGACGTGTATATGACGTGTATATGATGTGTATATGACGTGTATATGATATGTATATGATGTGTACATGACGTGTATATGATGTTCATATGACGTGTATATGACGTGTATATGATGTGTATATGATGTGTATATGACGTGTATATGACGTGTATATGATGTGTATATGACGTGTATATGATGTGCATATGATGTGTATATGCTGTGTATATGACGTGTATATGATGTGTATATGATGTGTAAATGACGTGTATATGATGTGTATATGATGTGTATATGACGTGTATATGACGTGTATATGATGTGTATATGACGTGTATATGATCTTTATATGACGTGTATATGATGTTCATATGACGTGTATATGACGTGTATATGATGTTTATATGACGTGTATATGATCTTTATATGACGTGTATATGATGTTCATATGACGTGTATATGACGTGTATATGATGTGTATATGATGTGTATATGACGTGTATATGACGTGTATATGATGTGTATATGACGTGTATATGATATGTATATGATGTGTACATGACGTGTATATGATGTTCATATGACGTGTATATGACGTGTATATGATGTGTATATGACGTGTATATGACGTGTATATGACGTGTATATGACGTGTATATGATGTGTATATGACGTGTATATGATCTTTATATGACGTGTATATGATGTTCATATGACGTGTATATGACGTGTATATGATGTTTATATGACGTGTATATGATCTTTATATGACGTGTATATGATGTTCATATGACGTGTATATGACGTGTATATGATGTGTATATGATGTGTATATGACGTGTATATGACGTGTATATGATGTGTATATGACGTGTATATGATATGTATATGATGTGTACATGACGTGTATATGATGTTCATATGACGTGTATATGACGTGTATATGATGTGTATATGATGTGTATATGACGTGTATATGACGTGTATATGATGTGTATATGACGTGTATATGATATGTATATGATGTGTACATGACGTGTATATGATGTTTATATGACGTGTATATGATGTGCATATGCTGTGTATATGACGATGTGTACGGCAGTTCAGTAGTCCAGTGGCTCAAGTGTTCATCAACACCAAAAGTCCTTGCTCAATGCCAGTAGGTAAAATGGTCAACTACCATTCTACAGAAATACAGCAGGGACATGGACGATGGTCTGATCAAATAATCCTGTTAGGTGCCTCTTTCAACGGGCATTAGTTGATGAACAACAATTCTAACATGTTTCTCTCTCGCATTTTGTTGTCTCCTTTTTTTTCAGCGTGCAGTCTGGCAGTTCACACTTCAAATCTACTCGTCAATGTGTGTGTTCACTTGGAAAGACTAACTTAGAGATGTATTAGATTGTGACTTATGGGAAGGGGGTGGGGGTGATTTTGTATATGACATGCAGAGGGGGGCACTTACTTTGTACATGCTTTGTACTCTCTCTCTGTGTGTGTGTGTGTGTGTGTGTGTGTGTGTGTGTGTGTGTGTGTGCGCGCGCGTGTGTGGTCATTCACATTGTACTTGCTTCTCCAAAACAATAGGGGCGGTGGGGTAGCCTAGTGGTTAAAGCGTTGGCTCGTCACGCCGAAGACCCGGGTTCGAATCCAAACATGGGTACAATGTGTGAAGCCCATCTCTGGTGTCCCCCGCCGTGATGTTGCTAGAATATTGCTAAAAGCGGCGTAAAACCAAACTCAGTCAGTCAGTCAGTCAGTCCAAAACAATAAACTAAGCTTACATGTACACCTCGTACACTAGTGTTGTTATACATTTGTAGATTATGTATAACAATACATCACCTGAGCTAATACAGTTTACCCATGTATGGTCTCATCACAGTATACGATTATGATAATTACATGGTAATCACCTACCTTGAATGTTTGGACCCGGCTGTGGTCGAACTAGACTTAACATCCAGCAAAACGTTGTGATTGTGGTAGCGTCCATTGTCCCAGTATCAATGCTAACTTGAGACACACTGCGACGGGGGCCTGTGACATCCCGTGACGAGCGTTTCCGATAAACAGATCCGGCTGAGTAAGATTTACTAGAATAATTGAAATGGAAATGTGGATGTAACAGTGATTGTAACCGTGTTCTGTGTCATTATGAATTTTGATACACCCATCAACGGTTATATTTAAATTCAACAGAATAATCGGACATGCGTCTTTATCGCTTTATCTTTAGTGGAAATATAAAAGCCATGTTATTTACAATCATCCGAAATCATTAGTGAGTGAGTGAGTTTAGTTTTACGCCGCACATGACATGATGGCCAATGATACACTAGTCACTCAACCCATTTTCAAAACTTAAATTTGTTTGTTTCACATTGAGTACATGTGAGTGAGTTTAGTTTTACGCCGCACTCAGCAATATTCCAGCTATATGGCGGAGGTCTGTAAATAATCGAGTCTGGACCAGACAATGCAGTGATCAACAGCATGAGCATCGATCTGCGCATTTGGGAACCGATGCCATGTGTCAACCAAGTCAGCGAGTCTGACCACCCGATCCCGTTAGTCGCCTCTTCCGACAAACATGGGTTACTGAAGATCAATTCTAACCCGGACCTTCATGGGTACCGTACCCATTAGATCTGCAGTTCAACATTGATGATTGCTTTATCAACTGCAGTTTATTTGATACATGACAGGGACGATCATCCGCCAGTGAAGGGTCCCGCATTTCGATATCAACAACTGCGATCTGTATCCATTAGAGTGAGTGAGTGAGTTTAGTTTTACGCCGCTTTTAACAATATTCCAGCAATATTCCCCTTTAACCACTAGACTACCCCACCGCCTTTGTATCCATTAGATGTACAGGTCTACATTAATGTTTGTTTTATCAAATTCAGTTATCTGATGCACGGCAGGAAACGAGCACCCGCCAGTGAAGGGTGCCGCTTTTTCGAGATCAAGAGTTGCGAGCGTTGGACTCAGCTGGCCCTTTTCATGCCTCTAGGTTTGTCTGCACCATGCCCGTTCTTGTGGATTTTTACAAAGTGTTAAACGCATCCTTTCTGATTTTCTTCCCTCACCATGATGTCGCGCCGTGATGCAACTGAAATATGCTTAAGTGGGCTTAAGAAATCAACAGTCTACTCACTCACTCACCACTCACTCACTTGGGGCGGTGGGGTAGCCTAGTGGTTAAAGCGTTAGCTCGTCATACCGAAGACCCGTGTTTCATTCCCCGCACTCACCCACTCACTCACTCAGTAAGTACAGAATACCAGTATACAGGATGTTGTCCACGACTGTGTTGTATGTGTCGTGAGCCGTACACTTGACTTCGTGACTCATACAGTGTCTATGATAGTAAGTACTTGTTTCCTGGTTCTCTCACGCGTCGTTTACAGTCAGCCCAAGAGAGTGCAAGTTCATCAAGCACCACCAACCTTTAACAGAAATACGGAAACGCTACATGTTGTTGTGTATGCTGAAAAAGTATAACATATTAGACGTAATTCCTTTACGTTGCAGGAAATTCCCAATACCTAAAGATATTATTTACTAGTAGTTTACTCTGGTCTATGGTAAAAATAAAAGCTTAATTGAAACGGAATTCGGTAACAGTTTATCTGATCCAAATGGTTCAGTTACATGGATCATCTCCTGGTGATATACCTCGTGACGTCTACATACGCGACAACGCCGAATATGTGCTGATGATGCAATATTTGTAACCCTGTTTTCAGGGGTCACAATCGTTGTGAAAGCATGCTAGTTTGTAATGGTGCGTGACAGTACAGGAAAACACTTGCAGTCGTACGATGGCGTTGTAGCCTTTAGCTTCTGTCAGTCGTATGTTAATATTTTTAGTGAGTGAGTAGGAATATGCAACTGAAAGTGTCGTCAAATGACAAACACGAGGTATGGATGTGAAATCTGTCAACAGGCAATCAGTGTAGGTATTCAAAGAGCCTGTTTCATATCAGGCTCACGACACATACAACACGGTGTTATATTTCTGGAGTTTTGCTAAAAGCGGCCTAAAACTAAACTCACTCACTGACTCACTCAAGATCACTGAAGATAGTTATATGTGTGTCTTCCTGTGTCTGTGTGTATTATAGGTGCATATAGATATGCGAGTGTCTGTGTGTCTCTGTGTGTTCTGGACCGCCTCCGTGGTGTAGTGGTTAGAGCGTCCGCCCGGAGAGCTGGAGGTCGCGGGGTCGATCCCCGACAGCGTCATATCAAAAGGCGTTAAAATATGGTACTTGTTGGTCCCTGCCTGGCACTCGGCATTAATGGGTACAACAAGGACTGGTCGGCTCGGAGTCAGTATAATGTGTCTGAGTGGGGTATTCATGCTTCACTGCGGCATGGTATCTCAGTGGGCTAGCACTATAAAACCAGCTTCAGTCTGGGCTAGTACAAGCAGCCGCACATACACATGCACACGCATGCACGTCGTCATATGAGCGAAATATTCTCAAGCACGACGTTAAACCCAATTTCACCTCACCTCACCTCACCTCACCTCACCTCACCTCACCCCACCTCTGTGTGTTCTCGTTGGTATAATTATCTCCGACATTGTGTAACCAAATTGTCAAAGGTTTGCTGCAGTAAGCCAATGTCCCTTTAGTCATCTCAGGATATCAGGTTCCATTCATCCCGTATTGGCCTGCTTTGCTCGTTAGAACCACACCCAGACATTAATTCTAACAGTGATATATCCCATGCATCCACTGACGAATAATAACTCTGTCAGGTCCTGAGCCTAAACGTTTAATAATTCAGTCAAGTTTCCCTGTATGAATCTGAAACGTTTTCACAATTGTTTCGTTTTCAATCAATAATTTCCTGTTCATAAGTTTCACATGTTCCCATACACTAACGTCCAAAAGAAACGATACAAAATTAAAAATATAAATGTTCTGAATAAAAATGTATATTTTTGATTAGATATGACATGGAAACAATCGCCTCAATTCAACAGTCAAGAATCATGAAAATAGTTGTGTTTTGCGCAACGCTTTCGTGCTAACTGTCTTAAAGCGTGAAAATTGCTCCCGCGTGCAGCGTGAATCACGTGCATGGTATTCATATAAAATGAGTGTAGAGCTGTTCACTGACATCATCCAAAATATATTGACGACCATGCCGCGATTAACACAGGAAGAAAGAGAGAGGGGAGGGGGGCATTGGAATGATGTAAATGGGAGCCACCCACCAGCACGTTGCTACAACCTTGGGCTGCGCTCGTATTACTATCACGAGACTCCTACAACGTTACAGGCAGACAGGTGTGGCATCAGACAGGCCCAGAAGTGGGAGACCTCCCGTTACAACGCCGAATTAGGACCGGTATTTACGGATGCTTCATCTCAGAAATCGTTTCCTGTCTGTGACGTCATCAGCAGCAAATGGTCTTGCACATCGTCGACAGACAGTTGCACGACGACTCCGACGGCATGGTTATTCGTGCTCACAGACCCTTTCGAGGCGTATTTTTAACGCATCAACATCAACATCGACGTCGACGTCTGCAGTGGGCACGCACCGTTCGACAATGGCATAACAGGCATTGGCAAAGGGTCATGTTTTCTGACGAGAGCAAGTTCCTCATATTCCATAATGATGGCAGGGCTCGAGTCTATCGAAGACGAGGCGAACGTTACCAACGTAACTTGTGTCCAGGAGGTGGTTCCATTTGGCGGAGGCGGTGTCATAGTTTGGGGTGGGAACTGTGGTGATGTGAAGACAGATCTCATTGTGGTGAATGGTAATTTGAACGCTCGAGGGTACATCAACCAGATACTGCGCCAAGTTGTCCTGCCTTTCTTGCAACAACACCAAAACCGCATCATCTTTCAACAGGACAACGCCCCTCCACATACAGCTCGTGTTACAACAGATTTCCTCGAAAGAAATAACGTCAACGTGTTGCCTTTGCCTGCTCGGTCACCTGACATGTCACACATTGTGCATATCTAGGACCATTTGGGTCGACATGTGCGTGCAAGACCTGTGCTTCCAGGACACAGACAGCAGCTTGCTCAGGCTCTCCAAGAGGAGTGGAGGAGGATACCCGTGCATGTTATCCAGCGTTTGGTCTACTCAGTACGACGTCGAGTTGCCGCATGTATTGATGCACGAGGTGGACATACAAGATATTGATCGCTCTGATAACCTTCACAGTATCATGATGTGTATATACATTGTAGAAACACCCCTGTCACCCCAGCTGTTATTTCAATACCTAGCACTACGGGTGCATCCACGATGGTAGCTAACAACCCAACACATGCCGCCCCTAGTCCCATGCTGGTCGCCATAAGGGCAGTATCAGTCCCGTCCACGGCATTGAAAGCTCTATGGTACTTCTTATATAGTGCTGTCCGCGTGTCGCGGTCTTGTTCTAGTTGGCGTTTTACATCACATAACTGCCTCAAGCGGAACCCGTCTACGGTTTCCAGGGTCTTCGCTACTTCCTCTACGACTGGGTACAGCCCCATCCTATAATATATATTACAAAAGATATTTTAATTGGGTTTCATTTAACCTTCGATTAATGTACATAAAGCTGATAATATTTAGATTAGGGTGCATGTAAAAAAGCTAGGTTTTTTAATCTTAGGCCATTAAAGAGACGAACTCCATCAAGGCTTGCTACAGGTCTGTTTCCCGATACCTTAGTAATACGGCAACGTTGGTTATTACACCTTGCTTCCCAACCTATCTTCATATCATCTATAATGTAAATATAATTACTACCCCAACTTATATCTCCGAGATAGACGTCTATGATTATTGTGAAGTTGTCCGCGACACTTATATTTTTTTGGTGATTGAGAGATTTGAGCTCTGTCTTTGCCTTCACACTGGAAAATAACATGTTACCCGAGATGTCTCCTGATACTGGTGCGATTAGTAAACGAGAGTCCGGAACAAACAATCCTAGAATCATGCCGTTGTTCTTAATCTCGGAGACCTCGATAGTATTTTCTTTCAAGTAGATAT